GCCGCGATGTGCACTAGGATGTAGATGACGGCCACAATGATCTTGGCCTGCGGGTGGAGTAACCGAGTCTCCCGCCCCGTCACCGGAGCTCGGCGGGAGAAAGGTCGGAGCACCTTGGCCCGGAGCTTGGATGACAGGATTTCAAACAGTCGCTCCGTGCCGAGTTTGTGTAGCAGGTAGTCGATCATTTCTGTCGTCTCATTTGTCGTTTCCGACAGCCCAGCTCCCGGTCTTCCGATCAGGTTCCTGATGAAATCCAGGCCCTGCTCCTGAATCGCCAAATCGTCGTTCCGTGCCCTCCGCACCGGATTTAGCTCGGATTCTCGCACCGCTGCCAGTTTGTCTTCCACCTGACGTAGCCTTGTCGAGTTTGTTGCATCCAGCTCTCGAAGCATACCGTTGGTGCCGTACACCCAGCGGTGTGCCTCGTCTGATTGTTGCATGTCCACATCGTCATCCATGTCCAATCCCGACGCTTCCCTCTCCCTGGCCATCTGCAAGGCCAAATCTTCTGTGTCGTCGCAAATGAGCTGCTCCAACCATCCTGGATCAAGTTGCTCCAGGCATGCCTTTTTCAAATCAGGCCCAACAGCATCAATAAAGTGCTTGAGCGCCCACAAGGCATTGAGTCGAAGAGCAGGGTTCTCCGAGTGCGCATGCTCGCAGAGCACCCTCATAACTCCGTTTTCTGCAAGAAGCTGTTACTGTTAGCTATAAAGCTCGTTAAAGACAACATACGCCATTGACTTACCTCGCGCACAGGGCTGACTTCGACCACTAGGTTGCAGATGGTTGCAGTGGCAGCAACTTGAACATTGACGTCCGAGTGTTTCATGAATCGAAAGATGGGAAGCGCAACTCCGTGGTCCACCAGCGACGTACGCAAGATGTTAACCGACCGAGACAGCATCCTGACCACATGGCAACCCGCGATGATCACCGACGCGGGGTTTGCGCCGTATCCTGCAGTTTCCCCCTTTCTGGTAGCATCGCCGCTTGACTTTTCTGCTGTTCGTTCCTTGGCTGTCTGTGGCTTCCTGGGATACTCCGATAGAGACTCGACAACATACGAGGCGATGTCCTCGGCCACAAACGCCTTCCTGTAGTCTTCCTTGCCCCCTGCAAGGGCGGCGATGGCCTTGAGTGTGCTTTCTCGCACCCTGAGCCTATGGATCAAAAGTCCATTCTGGCCCTCTTGACCCAGCTGAGAAAACGGAGAATTGCTCTCAACCTCCATATCCGTATCCGGTTGTGGTGACCAATAACGCGGCTGCGCAGTGTCTCGGACAGGGGCATATGCATGCTTCAAAAGTCTGCTCAATACCGGGACGGCCTCACATTCGTAAGCGGCCTTCTGGAGGTATTCGCTGTCCGTGATCATCCGGGCCAGCACCACCGGCGCTCGCTCGAGAATAATGCGCTTGCTCACATCATCCACCTCGTTCACATCGGAAGCGTCCTTGTCATTTTTACAGATCATGTCGACCAGTAGAGGGACAACAAGGAGCCCCAAGCTTGCGTCTCTCATACCTTTGCTTCCGACGCCACCCTTAATGAGCGCAGCAAGAATAGAGGAAGCAAGGAGGCGCTCATATTCCTCTGAGCACCTCACCAGGTGCACCAGCCAGGGAATGAAGGGACTTTCAATCTCTTCCGTGTCATCGCCATTAGACCCGACTGGCGGATATCGAGGTGAATCCCAAATCGCGGATGAGCTGAACTTACTCAGCGATGACCGAGAAGAGGACTGTGAATCCGATGATGCCCCCTGAGAGAACGAGCCATATGGGGATGTCGATAGACTTCGAGGTAAGCCGATTGGAAGCATGAACTCCATCGCAGTCACTGGCGGTTGACGTGATACATTGGGCCCTGGCTGCTCAACATCGTAACGGGGGTCCACGACTTCTGCAGGCTCAAACTTGATCGAGGGGAACACGGCGAGGATGGAGGGAGAGTCGATGAGCCTGTTGGCCCTGTATTTTGAATCCCCAAGAATAGCTGCAACAGCTTCAAGGATCGGCGCAAGCCTCAGACTCTTGGATGCAGGCTCAGGGAAAGCATCCAAAAGCCCATCATTCCTCGCCGCTTCATCAGCGCCGGGGACAACCTCTCCACGAAGCACCGCAACGCTGGCCAGCCGCGTTGCTAGTGCATCCAGAATTCCAGATGTCGTCAACGCTTGTTGATGGCGGTCCTCTCGACAAAGACGAGAAATCAGACCTGCCGCAAGTGGAACCTGGGATTGTAGAAGAGAGTTGGTGGATGTAATGGAGAGCATAGCTCCAAACGAGTCGAGATATTGTGGCGAGAAGATAGTATCGGCTAGGGACTCGATATCGATGGGCGAAGATGGCGGAGCAAGAATTGAAGCTTCCGCAATATCTGTCAAGGCCCTGAGAGAAGCCACGACAAGCTGTGGTGCGTTCGTAAACGGAGATATGTTGGCCATGAGGGCGGGGATCGCTCGCGCGGCATGGAGGGGAGCAAGGAAAGCTGGACCACCTGTTCCTCTCCATCAGCACTACAACAACGAAATTTCAACATGTATAGTACCATACCATTGGCGAAACTGGCCACCAGCTGCAGCGCCTGTAACCTCACGCTTTCATCCTCCGATAGCGGCCTCTGCGTGAGAGGGAATCGTGCATCCTTTCCATTTGGTTTGACTGGTGGCCTGGCTGAAGCCAAAGTCCTGACAATAGGATCAAGAACACCCAAGCTGATCCAAAACTCCTTTCTTTGTACGTGACCGACAACCTCGTTCTTCAGAGCTCTCAGGGCAGCGGTCTGCTCGGGCAAAGTTCTGGCGCTTCGCAGTTGCGCCAAGATCGGGGGACTCTGCGGTCGAGCCATCAAGACGAATTAATGAGACAAACGGGAAACTTTGGATATGCAGTCGGAGTGGAAGAAGCGATAAACAGAGACGTCGCGGATGATGCAAAATGTTGTTGCGATTGTCGTTCGAGGATGCTAAAATTCGAGGACACTGGCCACCTGATGATCGCGTCTGTACACCCAATCTGCATGCGCCAACGAACTGGGGAGCTATGTTCCAGATGCAAAGAGAAGAGAAGAAGCAAAAGTCGAGAATCAAAGTGCTATGCCAAGGGGCTGATGCGATGACTAGGCGATCGATGTGCTGTCGTGATGGAGCCTAGAGTGTCAAACCATTAAACATGCGAGTTGCGTTGCTACGTAGGTACAGCCTGGGGAACCCGGCGTCAGGTCAATCACGTCAAGACGGCATGGATGGATTTCCAGGCGGACTCCGAGTAGCGGGAGGCACGTGTTTCGCGCTTCTCCTGCCTTATCGGGGCCGATAAGAGAGGGAATGAGCCTTGGGACACTCGTGCAACCGTGGCTGACGGCTCATGAGCCCCCACGGTGGACTCACCTTTAAACCTGACGACAATTATCTGAAGCCATCATGACTGCGTTCTTCTTTGGCCAAGAAGGGCTTTTGCCTTGTCTTGCCTGTTCTTGTGCATTGTTGACTACACTTGCTCGCTTGCACAGGGCAATGTATCCTCTTGTTGAACCGCCGGCGTGTAAGCCCCCGACAGCCGCTTACACGCAGATGACGGAGGCTCTGGGCAATATCACAAGATGAGAGACGAAAAAAGAAAGATTTGTGCACAGGGACGAGAGAGCAAGGCAAGGTGGAAGATGGAAAAACACTCGTTCCACGTGCATTCTACGTCCCAGTGAGCTGGGAGCCGTGTCAGTTTGATTGTGTCACGACGTCTTGCGTGTTGACGGCACGGCCAGCAGAACCTAAACCTTCCTCATTCATCATGGTCTAGCCGCGCTCTCGTCTCGATTGTGGACCGACTATCTCCATGATGCCGCCATGCAGCAGCAATCAAGCTCAAAGCTCCACGATCCTGCGGTACTCCTCACCGAGCTCCCTTCCTGGACGACTTATCAGCCGGCGAAATGAGCGAGGGGTTGACGGGACCCCGGAGAGCTTCGCCCTCTGGCAGCCCGGCTTCCGTCCACGTTGCCCATCGAGTGGCTCACAAACGCCCAGACGAGCGCCTGCTTGTGCGAGGCTCTTTCTGGGGGAGTGAGATGCATCTGGGGTAACGCCAAAAGTCAGGGACCGTCTTCTCTGAGACAGGGCTAGCAGGTTGCTTGGCCTCCAGCTCGATGCTTGCAAGCCAGGCGGCAGTGTGAATCCCTTGATCGAGTGCTGCCGTGATAGTGGTGTGCCGGCATTCATCTCGTGTTTTGCAGGCGAGGAGCGACAACTTGAACAAGACTGCCTCGTCAAGTCAATCACAAGAGCATCAGCCGGCCAACCACAAACCGCGACAGGCGCCCTGAGCCTGGGCATTCTTGTTGTTCGCACACACTCACACTTTCTCGGCTCTCAACGGCCCCTGAGAAAATTTCTACACATCTATTTCCGAAAGGAGTAGCCAAGGGCTCCCATCCTGAGGGCACGCACATCCCTCGAGTCCTGACAAGGCCTGCCAAGCTTGCGTTAGGTAACTAACGGCTTGGAAGAAGAGCTCCTCCTGACTGAGGTCCCCAGGGACTCACCCTGTGCAAAGGGTTCCGGCCTGTCCGTTCCTAGGACCTAGGTGCTCAGCGCACGCACCCATTCGCAGCCCATCCGCGGGCGACCCAATATCCACACCCACTCCTTCACAGTCCACACAACCCATCCATCGCCCGGCCGCCATCCGGCACCATTCCACCAGCCAAACTCTTCGTGCGCGCGTGTCTGACAAACAGCCACCATTGCATCGGTGCACCACCATAACCCAGCCGCATTGGGGGCTTTGTTCTTGTTAGTCTGATATCCCTCGGTGAGCGTTCTCGTCGATAGCGCCAGTTCTTGGCAGCCAGTTTGCGCAGTGTCGCGTCCACATGGAATCGACCCCAAAGCCATGATCTAATTCGCGATTCGATTCGACCCCATATCTACAACTTGGTGCTCCTCGGTCGCCACTTCAAATCTTCAAATCCCCTTTGTTCTCCTCCCTCCTTTCCCGCTGCCGCTGCCACTGCCACCACTGCCACCCAGCCCTATCAACCACGCACTTTGACAGCCGAAAACCCCTCGACTGACATCAACGAACCGACGACAGACAACTCGACCATGCGCCGCAAATGATGCTCAAGACGTCGCCTGCCTTGTCCGCCTCCACCAATGCCTCGCCTACCGTCTTTCGATATGCGACGTCGTCTCCCCAGCACTCCTCAAAGCCTTCGCCAGCTCTCAGGCGACGGCATTCCACACGCTCCAGCGCCTCTTCCTCTGCCGACGCTATGAAGTCGTCTCCGATCCAGCGCCCGAGACAGTATGTCGCAAACGACTCGGGCGTCCAAGGGTCCCCCGCCGATGCTCAGCAACTTTCGTCGTCGCTCTCGCAGAAGCCTCCGGCGCAGCCCTTGCAGTCGCCTCGGCCGTCTCCCATGTCAAAGTCGTCGGCAACCCCCTCACGCCCTTCCCAGGAGCAGATCGTGCAACAAGGCCAGGCCCAAGCCCAAGCGCTGAGCGGGGTGTCGCCAACCAAGCGTCGAAGTTCGCCCGCCCTGGCCAACTCGCAAGCCACTGCCGCTGCCAAATCACCACCACCGTCGACTAAGCGACCAAAACCCGACGTGCCGCCGCCAAAGGTCTTGCCCGAGAGTTATCAATTCTGCCCGGTCGAGGACATGGTCGAGTTGATTGCCCACATGCTGGCAGAGTTGATAGCTACAAATGACGCCATCCGAATATCGAATGGCGGCCTGACGCGATTTCACTCGAGGTATTTTGAGGCTCTTTTGCAGCTTTTACAATGGAGCCAACCAACTGACGTGTATTATAGGACTGCACCTGGTATTTCTGTTCGAGATTATCTACACCGCCTGGCCCGACATGCGACCCTGACACCGCCGCTTCTACTGGCCATGGTTTATTACATTGACCGGTTGTGCGCCATGTACCCAGAATTTACCATCAATACGTTGACTGTACACCGATTTCTGATCACCGCGGCTACGGTAGCCGCGAAAGGATTATCTGATTCCTTCTGGAACAACACTACGTACGCCAGAGTCGGTGGTGTTCGAGTAGCCGAGCTTAAGCTGCTTGAACTCGAGTTTCTCTACCGTGTGGACTGGAAGATTGTACCGAATCCAGAGGTCCTGGTGGCCTACTACAAAGGGTTGGTGGAACGAACTCCAGGTTACATTCTAGAATCAGACGGGTCCGAAGAGGACGAAGACGACACCGAGGCCGATGGCATGGATGGAGAGGATAATGCTAGTTCGGACGATTAGAACGTCGTCAGCCTGGTGCTCATTCCAAGACGATATCGGAGCATATATTTCCACTTTACAGACCGACCGACCGACAGGTCAAAGACGCCATCTCGGTCGGTGGATTTGGACGGATACTACATGGCGAGCGGATGGATGCATGACCATGACGGAGGGACCGAGGGTGGACCCTGCATAACACGACATTTACTGGCGTTGGGGACCGGGGCGATTCGATTGATTCATTTTAAGACAGCATCACCGGGTTGGGCAATGAAGCATCTGTACACACAGCTTGGGAGGCAGACGTTAGACTCGACCATGATGTCGAAAAAATTATATTGCATTTCACTAGAGATGAGTTTTCAGACTTACACAATTATCCATCAATCAAATGTGTTTTATGTCCAGTGTCTTGAGGTGGTAGCCGTTGAGCTGGGACCTCCATGCCAATTCCCCATCTCCCTGGGTAGACCTGGGCATCCGGAGAATTCTACCGAGGATCAGCCGCCACAGGCATGACGCTGTCCAGGTGTCAATTCCGAGTATCTACAGCTACACGGTCTACACCCCCACGACAACCATCTCATCCCAAAAATACAGCCGTGTCCCACGGTACTGCCCATGATGAGGATTACATCCCTTCTATCAACCATCTGCGCTGCTGCGCTCGCTGCGGCTGAGCCGCGCACTGCCCAGATCTACGTCCAGCCTGTCCACTCCTCACCATCAGCCCCCCTACCGCTGGCCGAAGTAGCCTACGATGTCGCTTCCCTCGCTTCTACCGAAGTCATCTCCTACGAGGCACCCGAGCTGCCCGAGGGCGCATCGCTTGTCCGCATCGGCCTTTACGACACCAAGTCTTCGAAGTGGATCAGCGGCACCACGGCCGCGTCGGCCGAGAACTTTGGCAAGGGCCTCGCGCCAACGGTGATGCTCTCCGTGGACGGCGCCGGCGACGTGCGCAGCGTCGCGTTCAAGGGCGTGCGGATCGACGCCGGACAGACGAGGGATTTCGGCCCCAAGGCTGTTGTGTTCCCGGACAAGAAGGGCAGCCAGCCGGAGCTGAACAAGCCGGTTGTGCTGTCGCCCAACGGCAAGAAGGTGGGCGAGGAGGAAGAGAAGACGCTTTTGCAAAAGTGAGTTCAAACTGTTTTCTTCTAGAAATGCTAAAAGTGATGGAATGCTAACTGTTTGGTAATAGGTACTGGTGGCTTATTGCCGTTGTGGTTGTCATGTCGATGGCCGGAGGAGGCGACAAATAGAGGATACAGCGCAATCAATACACGCTTTAATTCAACCATTTTTACGACGAATTCATTTGATTACGGTTGTGTGTACGACCTGAGACTTTGATGTTGACCGTGTTCTCATGAACCTGGGCGTGTGAACGCCGGCTGGGTACAACGGAACGCCTTGACTAGCACGGCCTGTTGTGATATGCCAGGAACTAGTTCTTCCGCCTTACGTCTCACGTATCATGGCTTTCCGCCTGGTTCAAATTCGAATTGAGTGTCTCGGTATATGCTCTGGGAACTGTCCTGGAGTGTTGACAACTGACCCCCTATCCCATCATACGTGGTGAATTCTTTCTTTCTCGTTTGGATTATTTGAGGGCAATCATGAACCCATGCAAACAGGCCCTATTCACCAGTTTCTCTTCAACTCCTCATCGATTGATTGTTCTCCTACCAGGCTGGCTCGCTCAGGGGAGACAGATCCATCACGTGCTTGACCATGTGACACGGTAAACCAGACCAAGGTCGCATAGCGCTAAGACAGATCGGGCTTAGAGCGGTTGCTATGAGAAGATCTGGCTGGGCGTCGCATGCACCTGCTTTAAAACTGAAGCTCGTCGCACTGGAACCCGCTTCGCGCTGGAACCAATTCACTTGTAGCTCGCTCACCTGCATTTCGCGTCGCAACTTTCGCTTTTGCATAAACTCCCAATTCTTTGCGAACTTCTACCAAAACACCTACTTCTCCACTTCACGCTACCGCAAATAACATCCTCCACCGCAACAATGGCCGAGAACAGCGCTACCATTCCCCAGGATCCCTCCAAGATCCAGGAGGATTCTGTCGCCGAGTCCAAGGGCAAGGGCGCTGCTGCCCCTGAGAACATCCATGAGGACACTGCCATGGATGAGGATGACGATGATGACGACAGTGATGAGGATGAGGAGGTATGTGCTGCCGCCATTTGTTTATTTCCATACGCATTACTAACATGGGGTTCCTAGGTCGTCGAAGCCGGTATGCGCCCACTCGCAACACTTGGACCCTGACCATAGCTAACCATTCTGTATAGATGAGGACGGCATGGAGGAGATTGATCTCAACAACATCGTCGAGGGTGGTCGTCGCACCCGAGGCGCCGTCATTGACTTTGCCAAGGCTGCCGAGCAACATCCCGCCGCCGAGGACGAGGATGAGGAGGACGATGATGACTTCCAGCCCACCGAGGATGTCAAGATGTCCGACTAGATTTCAGCGCACGTCGAGAAGTCGCAAACCTTCACTTGACGACACGTTCGCGTGAGGATTTAACGGGTGGTAGAGGCATGATGTTATGATTTGGGACGTGGACAAATACAAAAATGGGAACTGGCAGGCAGACAACTCTTTAAACTCGGGCCTGGATTTGGGATCTGGGCGGGATGGAGGGAGCAGCCAAAAACCCAGCATTATCTGCTTTGCATAGCTACTGTCCCTATTAGTTAGACATGGAGCAATATGGAAGCACCTTAATACGGTCAAACGAGGCTGTCTTGAATCTGCGAGAGGCCGTTGATGCGGATTCCATGGTTAGCTGCGTGAACTTGTACACGTTTTGGACCAAGTCAGCATCCAATTTGAGCACCCCTGAAAAAACAGTTCCCATCTGTCCTTGATTGATCTCGAGGAATAATTACACAATCTACCAATCGTGTCCAATCCTTTGTCGTTTTCTCACAATGTCAAGCTTAAACTCAAGTGGCGATGGCATTGGATCCATCATTGGACAAGCCCCTCGGGTCGGTACGTATCCATCCCATCACACCCGTCCCCATAAACACCCCCCGATTTCCGCCTCCCCTGATCATCAGACCAGGTTAAAGAGAACACGAACACCTAAAAAAAAATTACCGTTGACCCAACCAGGATCATCGTAGGGGGCCAAGTCCGAGATTCGCGAGCCCCTCGATTTTTTTCTTCCTTTCTTCCTTCTTGAAATATAATTCTTGGCTCAATCTTGAATCCTACTCCTAGTTTGTTCAAACCCTCTAACCATGGCGCAACGGTATGTCTCGTCTCAGGCATCTCTCTCTTGTCCTTAGCGGCAACCACGTCACCACTTTCAGAATCACTGACAATTCCATGTCAAAAAACAGATTCGGCGCCTCATCGCTTCACCAGCGCGACTCGCGCAGCGCGCTGTTCGAGGGATACACTGGGGATGCGGCCTCGCGGCGGCCCGTCAGCGCCAGCCCGAGCCGCGGGTACGGCTACGGCGGATACGGGGCTCCTTCGCCATCGCCTCTCGGGGCTGGAGGGTATGATGGCGGTGCGGCCGCGAGGGGTGGGTTTAGGTCTGCGACGCCGAACCGGAGGGGACAGTACAGCGACGCTGTGTTGAATGAGCTGGAGAGTCAGAATGATGCGCATGTGGAGGGTATCCTCGGCAAGGTCAAGGTGTTGAAGGATGTGAGTTTCTCTGGACACTCTCCCAGGTCTTGTTCTTGGTTTCCCGGGGAAATGACAGGGAGGATACATCCGAGTTGGATAGGCACTGACAGCTGGTTTCTAGATGACGGTCGCCATCGGAGACGAGATCCGCGAATCCTCAGCCCTGGCCGAGAAGATGAACGACACATTCGACTCGACACGAGTCCGCCTCCGCGGCACCATGAACCGAATGCTCCTCATGGCCGAGCGAACCGGTGTAGGCTGGAAGGTCTGGATCGCCTTCTTTGCTGCCGTCATCCTGCTCTTCACCTACGTGTGGCTCTTCTAATGCCAAAAACAACAACAACACTCGATTCGGGATTAACGAGATAAACGCCGAGTAATGGAAAGGGTACATAATTGACTGGGGCCAAATGTCAATGTCCAGTCGACAAACCACACTAGAGCTGGAGGGTTCGCCATGAAGAAAAAGAGAAGGCAGTGCATTTTTCTGGATGGCGTTTGGGATGGCGTATTGGGAATACTTTTCTGCATCATGATACGGGGGGAGTAAGTTATTCGGGCAGACATGAGAAGCATCATCACGTCGAGCGTTGCCCATACAAAGTTTGTAATATTCACCGTTCTTGACTTGCCTGGTAGCCAGCTATCCAGTGAAGGCAAGGGCGCGTCCATTTAATATTCTTCTCAATTCTTGATAATGAAGCCAAAAAAACAAAAGGGTATATAAAAGCTGCTTCCCAAAAACCCTATTTCTATCCCGTATTCCATCTCATTCGTGTCATGTCATCAACGCTACCCTTGACGGGCACGTCGTCCAGCTGGACTACTCTCCATAAAGCTGCTGCCGTCTTGGGAGAGGAGGTTGCTGAGGTCCATGCTGACGCGTGGATGTGACATGCTGGAGCGGCCGTGGAATGTTGGTGATCGTGGAGGCGGAAGGGTCGTGGAGCGAGGTGCATAGCTAACATCAGCGTCATCATCGTCCTCGTCCTCCTCTTCCTCGTCAGGTTCTTCCTCGCTGCTAGTCAACTCGGCCTCGGAGTCGGTGTGCTCATAACCACCGCTCTCGGCCTCGGGGATGTCGTCGTCGAGGTCGGCGTCCATGTCCACGCCGAGCCCGTCGTCCGTACCCTCCTGGGTGAAATCGTCTTCATCGAGAAGATGACCATTATCTTCGGCTTCGAGATCATCACCGTCGCCGTACATGTCACCGGCGTCTGGCTCGCCTCGGACGAGAGCCTCTCGGAACGTGTCATCGTTCATCCTTATTTGTGAAGCCATGAGATCGTTCTGTCGCTCTTCCCTGAGTGCTGATTCGTCTGCTTCAGTCGCATCGTCGTCCTCATCTTCTTCCTCCTCTTCCTCTTCGTCGTCTTCATCATCATCTTCATCATCGTCAAAACCAAATCCGTCATCAGCATCGGGAATTTCGTCATCCAGGTCCTGAGCACCATCAAGTTGTACATCGTCCATTGTGCCGTCTTCGGGCATGCCTTCTGCCTCGGCTTCGGCCAACTCCTGAGCTAGCTGTTCTCGTCGCATTGCCTCTTGATGTTCTTCCTGCTCTCGTTTCTCCTCGCGCATCTGGTGTAGAGTCTTGGGCACACCTGGTGGTTTTAGCCAGCCACTACCATAATTCTGAATGTTCAACCGTCGTCGCTGCATGTATTGCTCGTCCGAGGCGAGACGCGCGAGAGCCGAGCGCTCAATAATCTTGCCGCGCTGGCGCGACTGGTGCCCGGCATTCTGAGGGTTTTGCGATTCGTTGTTGAGTTCTTCGAGGGGTCCCGGCGGGGAGAAGGAGCTGCGAGAAGATCTATACCACAGAAGATGTGACTGTTGGGCATTAGTAGATGTGACTGCAGAAGAATCGAAAAGACATACATCTCGTGGTGTAAAATCCGGCAGTGTGGTAAACATGAGAGTTATCGACGACGTCGTCACCGTCGAATCTGATGGATGTATGTGTGATGTTTTGAAGATAAGGTACGTATCGCCAATGTTGCTGAGGTGCATTCCCAAAATGGCGGGGCAATTCACGCGACAGACGCGACGCCGCGCTTAGTAGCCGCAGCCGCCGAAATGCCATTACAGGCAGGCCAAGAATGAAACATCACCAACAAAAATTTCCACGACGACGATGAATCTTCAACTCGATCAACAGAAACCGAGACTACGAACTGTACACTCCGCCCAAGAGAAGACGCCCCTCGGATTTCCAGGGTTTCGCTCAAGTTGGGCCCCCTAATTTTGCAGCGGCTGGATCGGTTGGGGGAGTGTCAACTGGGTGTGGGCAGTTTCTGGCTCGACACTAGGTTCTAGGCTCGTGTTTCTGGGAAATGAAGGCCAGACAACGACTGCAACTCTGCCGTGGTGAAATTGCAGCTCTGTAACTCACCGCCTGCGGCCAAGCTCAGAAGGTTGGTTCTCCTTTTTCCCAGTCCTGCCCATCGTTCGTTCGGTCGCAAGGGGATGCGCCCGATGGGTTTATTCATTGTGTGAGGTAAAGGGCAAAAAAGACCATCGGGTGTGCCTCAACCCTTGCTCGGCGACAAACTCCTGCAGCGTCGCTTCCGCTCCTGCGCTAGGTCGTTCCCTTATGCACCGAAACAGACTATGCTGTTCGGAACTAAGACTTGGAATGGCATTCGAGTTGCACCTCGGGAGATCTCGGGTTGTTGCGGTCGGGGGATGTAGGTTGAGCAGGACGCTGGTGTCCGCCGAGGTCCGCCATGCTGAGATGAGAACCCCGGACTTGGACCGTGGAGGTCCGTCGGCATCTGCCCCGTCCTTCGTCCTTCGCAAGGAGGGAGGTTCTTTGAGTCGTCGGGAATCGGAAACTGGCTCGTCCAGGCTGCGTGCGAGTGAGGCTGTGGGCGTAGGTACTGGCCATGACGGCTCCGCAAATCCGCGACACGAACTGCAAAGATGCAGGCCGACCGTTAGCACCGCCGAACTCGGCCCTCTTCCTGAGAGCTTACCCCCAAGTTTGCTGCCATCGTCTCGACCTCCACAGGACCACAGGCTCCGCCCGGCCAGTTGCTCGCTTTCATATTTATAATGCCTCGACTTGATTTGAGCTGTTCTCGGCATCCATTTGCCCGCCGTTTTAGTATGCCAGGCCCAGAGATAAGAAACTGTTGCACTCGCGCTAGGAGATACGGCGCCGACGTATGTGTGTGGTCCGCCGACAGCATCCATCCTGCAATGCGTCCAAGCTATTCAGGAGAAATCCTATTGTACACGTATTCGTCAAGGTGTCAGTCATGGTTGGCGGAGGACAAAGACCGTGAGGCTCGGTAGGGCCATGTTTGCATGCGTCGGGGAAGATGGGGATGAGATCCGTGTGCTCGAGCCAGATGCCTGCGACCACGGCTTTTAGACGTCGTCCGTTACACAAAGAAGACGAATAGTGAGCAGAGACCTTGATTGATAATTGAATATCCGCCGTCGCTGACAGGCGCTCCCAGCAGCCACGGCTGATGGAACCTCTCTAGCTGCCATGTAAGTCGTCGACCGGTTCAAATTACCAAAAAGAGTGACGTCTTTTGCTGCAGGCGTCTGCAACACCTCGCAGAACCTCACAGGGCCCCTCGCACCTCGCAGGGACTCCCGAAGCGTGGCGAGACATGTGCGTCTGCGCGATGGCGTCGACTAAAGACGGCGCTAGGCGATCTCGCACCCTTGGCTGCCGTGTGGTGTGCGACTCTACGGCACGAGCTTCTTCCGTTTTAGTGTAGAGATGCCGCAGACGCGGATGGTAGAAGTTGGTTGGTTCGAGATAAGAAACGGCACCGAATACGGCTGGGTCCGTGATTGGCCGCCTCCCCCAATTTTCTGTTGTCCATTTTTTGACTGTGCGATATGGGGTGATGGCAAACCGTGAGACGACACTCAACGACAGGAGCAGGAGGCATGGAGATGGAGGGTCAGGGCCTCGGCCGCCTCTGTTGTGCGCTCGGCGAGTCTTGCAAACATCCCGAAGACCCCCAGAGCATAATCTCAGGGCCAACTCCGCTATGCTGTGTGGCCTGCTTCTCACGCCAGACCGAGAAACCCATTCGGCTTGGTCGGCGGCCTTGACCAAGGTTCTCGCCAATGAAGATGACGGGGGATAGTTTTCATCTCATAAGCAGAAACGTCTGCTTCGTATGTCGATGACGCCGGTTGGAATTGCGGCGGCGTGGAAGCACAGCACTGGCAGCCATGACATCCAATTACGAAGATCATAGCCAAACCCAAACAGCTCTGCAGTTTGAGGACCCTAGTCCCTTGATCAGCCCTGGAAAGCCTCAATATCCAGCCTGGCGTGACAATCAATGTTGGGTTTGCCCAACTGCAGGCGAGAGGGACGGACATGCTACGTAGCAGCAAGCTGCGGTGCTGGCGCATGTACGTAGGGACGTCGGGGCGGATAGCTGTGACTCGCGGAATCACATCTCAAATCTCGCGCCCGTTGTGCAGCACCGGAGCAGATGCAACATCCAGCTCCTCGGAGAGGTCGCTCTAGATGCGGACTGCGAGATGGCTCAAGTTGGGGGTCTCCCGACGAATCAGACCCGGCTTAGCTCCCCCGCGCGCAGCATCTGTACGTCAAAGGTCCCCCAGGCTCGCAAGCGTACGGGATGGCTCATCGCAGACCTTCTCTAGCCTCGTTTTGGAGGCGAGCAACGTGGGCGCGACATCGGCCAGCCTGGGCTTTGAAAATGGCGAGCCGTGATTGGTGTCGCAAGTTGAGAGGCCGAAGCTGATCCCTGCGGAGGTAGGTTTAACGTTCCAGTCGGCGTCGCACGGATTCGCAGCATCTTCCAGCCATTCGGCGCCATATCCAGCCGGACCCTGGTTGCCTGGCACCCTAGCGCCCTCGACCCTGGCTTGAGGCGCCGCTGGACAGAGGGAAAAGGCTTGAAAGGGTGACGGAGAGAGCTGCAGGTCTGTGGGGTGCGCTCGTGCGTGGCTGGTCCTTGGCCTGCGGTAGAGTCTCGTCCCCTCGGCCGGATTTCTCTTACACGAACCATGTTGCAAACCCATTCACAGATTGACAAGAGATAGAGATGCGGCGTCAACGCCGAATCAGCCTGTAGGTGATTGGGCCCAGTGAGGGAAGATCTCTTTCATCCCCCTCGCGTCGGTTAAACAGATCGGGCTTGAGATGAATGCGGAGAGCGGAGAGGAGCGGAGAGAAGCGTAAAAGGAGAAACGGCCGGGGGAGAAGAGCAATTGAGGCTGTTTGGCCACTGCATGGGTGGTTGCTTGTCTGTCTGTATCCACCGCGAGTAAGTTGACTGACTCCAACGGGCTGACGGACTGACCGCTTGGTGTTTTGCTAGGTTTGCCAACCGTGCCGTCAGGTCAGGACAACGGTAAGAGGATCAGAATCAGGCAACGACAGTACATGGCTTGATTTATTCAGAAACACGGGGAGCATTGTGCTTGCCACGGTGTAAGCGAGTCGGTGAGCGCCCGCAACCTGGAGAAGCAGACCAGGTATTTCGGTCAACGAATACATGGGGGAAACAACACCTTGGTAGACACCAGGATGTGCATTTTGCAGCGGACATCTCATCTCAGTGAGGCGAGCATACTGTAATGGTATGTGGGCAGTATGTCATCAATTCTCTGAGTGGACTGGCCGACATCAAAGACGTAGCTGGCAGTAGATCGCATCCCTTGAACGGTGCAGATCGGAAAGGAGGGGTTCTCTCGTCGGAGCTCCTCCATCCACGGCATCTCCTAGTGCTATCTCGCCCAGCAAAAGATGGGCGTTTTCGCCTCCTCTTGCCTGTGTCCGCCCAGAGCAAAGGGAATTTGCCAGGGAAGCATGATCCCCTGGTCCGAAGACATGCCGATCCACGGAGGAGGGTGAATGGATGGATGGGATCAAGGATGGATGGAACAAGTGGAGGGCAAGACATGGAGCAGAGAACCGGACGGAGACAGACGATGGAGAGGGATGGAGCGGAAGATTGGATTGACGGGTGGCGGGACGGCGGGATGGAGAAGACAGGCTAAGGCAGGTCATGGTCAAGGCGTTGAAGCCCTGCGAGGCTCCAGACTCGCATCTCCAGGCTGTTTCGGAGGACAACCCGAAGGATGGAAGGGGAAGGCCGATATAGTATCACGACATACACATACCGAAGAAATAGGTAGGTAGACATGGATATGGTTATTTCAACTTGGCATGGGGGATGGGGAAAGCTGGGACCAAGAGGAGAGGCCAAACAGGTAAACCTCTCCCAAGCGCGGCATTCCGTATGGATGAATGGGACGTGTCCGAGCTTCAATCAACCAACCCTGGACCTCGCGCATCGGCGGAACAGGCTCGAATCGCAAGGTCCAAATGCCCGAGATGCCCATGGGCAGCGGCACCTGGGGCGCGGGAGTGACGCCGAGGGGATGAGGGCTTGCCCACCCTAGGCTCCATGGCAGTCGGTGCAATCCATGAATTTCTGACTGCTCTGATGCGCCCCGGATGGTGGCATGTCAATGACGGGAGCGTCGTGCAAATGCCTGGAACCTCATTTGCCTGCGCTGTTTTTGTTGGCATGTGCTTTCTCGTTCCCCCATTTTACAAGTCAACTAGTAAAAACGGTAGACAAATCGGTCCACGGTAGGGTGGTGTGCGCCCGCCTGGTTCGGGTTCGGGGTCTGCACGCCGAAGACGTAGTAGGAGTTCGTCTTGAGTCCTAGACATGGAGTGGGCGTCCATGGTGTTTTGGGGGCGACGAGGTCGTTTTTTTTTTCTTCAGCACACAAAGAAAGAAAGTTTGATAGATAACGCAAAAAGCTAGATATTATCGACCTATCCAAGCGGATTGTCTGGATTTCCCATGTGATATACAGTTGCCATCCAACCTCTCAATAGACGCCAGCACAACACAATTGATGCACCCTTCCGACATCCCATCCCATCCATTCTCGACTCCATGTAGTGCACCCTTGCTCATCAAAACCCCCGCCAGCGTTCACTCGAGCGCCAGCCATCAACATCATCAGCATCATCGGTCCCCCACCCCGCTACGCATAACCCTGTGGGCTTGCTCCCTGGACCCTCCGTTTCTGACGCCGTCTGTGTCTCCCCGTCTTCGCAGTGCGACCGTGGGCTGGGCTGGGCTCTCCTCCGCTGTGCGTCCTGTCTGCTTCTCCTCTCCTCACCTCACTCATCAACCCGAGAGCTGGAGCCCTACACTACGTACCCCCCCTCTCCCCGTCTTCCCCTCACACACACCCCTCCCCCGGCACCTAGCCTGAACCATCTACGCACGCCGTAGCCGCTCCATTGGATTTTTTTTTCTTTGCTCACCCATTTTCCTTTCGTGGGGCTTGGTTCAAGCTGCTTTCTTTGGACCTAGCTGGACCCAGTCGATTGACTCGAACCGGGCAGACCCCCCCAGCAGACTGCCGGTGCTGGACGAGCTGTGACTCGAGTTGGCTTGCTCTGAGCTGCCGAGAGACCGAGTTGGCACTGCTTTAGCATTGGTGACGGCTCCGGACATCTATTCCCATTCTCCCACCCTCAGGTTGCTCCCCATCCACCTCCCACAACTCTCCTCCTTCCATAAAAGCAGACCCGTTGCCCTCCCCTCCAACTTTTCTTCCCTCTCGCCCTTCCTCTTCCTCCTACCTCTCTGCTCTGTCCTCTCGCGTTCGCCCTTCCCTAGTATCCAACGTGCCTATCCTGCCGCTGCAAGCCAGTCGCCTTTTGATACCCTTTCGCTTTACTGCCCTACTCTGGTAAAGAGGACCAAGCATCCCTGGTAAGTTGTGTGCTGATTGCCGCCCTCATTGCATCCCCCATTGCTTTAGCACCTTGTTTGGATACCCCGCCTTCTTTCCTACGACTATGGACGACATGCCTGTGCCTCCGACCTGAATTCGCGGAGAATCGACCAACGGGCCATCGCTTCCAGGAGAAAACGACACGACCTCAACTGGCGATAGTCCCGAAATCACATGCCACCTTCCAACCGATAAAAAACAACGACTCTTGTAGCGGAGCCAATGCAGCAACCATCTCTCCGGTTTCGCGGCTTCTCTCACTGGCGTGGCGCTTGTTCCCATGTTCGGCCTGTGGTGGCATCGCCGAGGTGACGTCCTCCCCAGGCGCCTCCTAGGGGCCCCTTGTCTTAGCCGCATGCATTGTTGGCATTGCGAGGGCCATTATTGGCTGTGCCGCCCTGCAACATCCCACTCCGCACACCGGGGCCAGGGGGCCCGCCCGGGAGACCACCGAGAGGACCACCGACTTGGCCACTCTGTGGGTCGATGGCCCAAACAAGACAGCTGTGAAAGCTTGGCTGTTGCGGCTGCGCGAACCTCTTCTGGCACTGCATCGCCTAGTCTTGGAGTGGAAAACTGCCGTGATGTGTTCTCGGGAGCAATGTCCGCAATGGAATCAGCTCACCGGCGACTCATGGTGCGGCACAGAGTCAGTGTGGTGGGAGCCACTGGCGTCGTTTGCGGGGCTACACGGTCACATCTTGTGTGGTTGACGGATTGAGTTTATCGCAAGATACCCTTATCAGCGCCACTCCCGAAGCCGGAATGGGATGAAATCAGTGAAGGATCCATCTCGCACCAACCTCGGCACAGTTTGTGGGGATTGGCAGCCTGGAAGAACAACCCTGGATTTTATTGCCCGACCACTGGATCTCGCTGCACAATCCATTCTACCTGTCGCATTCATTCTGTCCCCTTACCCATGCTAATTCCAAATGCTAGATCTCCGCTAGAGTCGCTACTGCTGCTCTTCCACCGAGGAACCCCGCGATCCTCCACCCCACCAAACACCCCCACCAACCCCACCTAGACCCGGTCGATACCCTCGCCTAGCATGGGCCTAAACGAGGAATTCGACGACCGACAGATCCATATCGAATCCGAGCAACAACCATACATCCCCTATGAGTATCAGACTGATAACAATGACTCGTGGGCTGGTGCTTTGCCGGTGAAGCAGGGTCTCTATGACCCTTCTCTCGAGAAGGATGCCTGTGGTGTCGGCTTTGCTTGCCACATCAAGGGCAAGCCCAGCCACAAGATTGTCAGCGATGGTGAGTTTTTCGTCCCGAGTGTAGTTGCACAAGACTGACCTCTTACAGCCCGAAACCTGCTCTGCAACATGACCCACCGCGGTGCTGTGGGTTCCGATGCTCGAGATGGTGACGGTGCTGGTGTCATGACATCCATTCCCCACCGGTTCTTTATCAAGAACTTTGAGAAGGAGGAGGACATTAAGCTGCCTCCTCTGGGCCAGTACGCCGTGGGAAACCTGTTCTTCAAGCCCGACGAGGAGACTCTTGAGGAGTCCAAGAGGCAGCTGGAAGATGTTGCCGAGTCGTTGGGTCTTCGAGTCCTGGGATGGCGACGGCCCCCCGTTGATTCGACTCTTCTGGGTCCCGCTGCCAAGTCTCGCGAGCCCATCATTGCTCAGCCTTTTGTCGTCCTTGCCTCCGCCTATGGTGCTGGCGTTGCTCCGGAGATGACTGATCCTGAGCAGTTCGACGATCGCCTCTTCGAGCGACAGCTGTACATCCTCCGCAAGCGTGCTACTCAGAGCATTGGACTGCACAACTGGTTCTACATCTGCTCCCTTTCCAACAAGAACATTGTTTACAAGGGTCAGCTTGCTCCCGTACAGGTCTACTCTTACTACCACGATCTCGTCAACGCCGATTACGAGGCGCACTTTGCCCTGGTGCACTCTCGTTTCTCCACAAACACCTTCCCATCCTGGGACCGTGCTCAGCCTCTGCGATGGGCTGCCCACAATGGTGAAATCAACACTCTGCGAGGTAACAAGAACTGGATGCGCGCCCGTGAGGGTGTCATGCAGTCTGATATCTTCAAGGAGGAGCTTGAGCAGATGTACCCCGTCGTCGAGGACGGTGGCTCTGACTCTGCTGCCTTTGACAACGTTCTTGAGCTTCTGACCATCAACGGAGTTCTCTCTCTGCCTGAGGCTGTTATGCTCATGGTTCCCGAGGCTTGGCAGGGCAACCAGCACATGGACCCCAAGAAGGCTGCATTCTATGAATGGGCTGCTTGCCAGATGGAGCCTTGGGATGGTCCCGCTCTGTTCACCTTTGCTGATGGCCGATACTGTGGTGCTAACCTGGACCGAAATGGTCTTCGACCTTGCCGTTTCTACGTCATGGATGACGACCGTATCATCTGCGCTTCCGAAGTCGGTACCATCCCCGTCGAGCCTGAGACCGTCATCCAGAAGGGCCGTCTCCAGCCTGGTCGCATGTTGCTGGTTGATACTCAGGCTGGCCGTATCATTGACGACAAGGAGTTGAAGGAGGCTGTTGCTAGCAGACACGACTTCCGAGCGTGGCTTGATAGGGAATTGATTACCATGCCCAAGGTCCTCGAGACCTTGGAGCAGGCTATGGACCTTGCGCCCAAGTTGGACGACAAGACTCTCCAGGCTGATCCCCTTCTGCTCTCCTTTGGATATACTCACGAGCAGGTTAGCTTGTTGCTTGCCCCCATGGCCGCCGATGAGAAGGAAGCCCTTGGTTCCATGGGTAACGACGCCCCTCTGGCTTGCCTGACCCAGGCTCCTCGTCTGCTCTATGACTACTTCCGACAGCTCTTTGCCCAGGTCACCAACCCTCCCATTGACCCAATCCGAGAGTCCATTGTCATGTCTCTGGAGTGCTATGTTGGCCCTCAGGGTAACCTGCTGGAGATGGACTCCTCCCAGTGCGGCCGTCTGCTGCTTCCCAGCCCCATCCTCTCCATCCCGGAGTTCAATGCCATCAACAACATGTCCTCCACCTACTCTGACTGGACTGTCAAGACTATTGACCTGACATTCCCCAAGAACCAGGGTGTCCAGGGCTACATCAGCCACCTCGACAAGATCTGCGAAGAGGCTACTGCTGCCATCGAGGCCCGGGACCGTGTCATTGTTCTCTCTGACCGTAACACTTCCCCTGACCGCGTTCCCGTCTCTGCTGTTCTGGCTTCTGCCATGGTCCACCACCACCTGGTCAGCAACAAGTGGCGATCCATGGCTGCACTGGTTGTTGAGACCGCCGAGGCTCGTGAGGTCCACCACATGTGTGTTCTCCTCGGTTATGGTGCCGATGCCATCAACCCGTACCTTGCTATGGAGTGCATCCTCAAGTTGAACCGTGAGGGTCTTATCAAGAAGAAGCTGAGCGATGATGCTCTTATCCGAAACTACAAGCACTCTTGCGACGGTGGTATCCTCAAGGTTATGAGCAAGATGGGTATCTCAACTCTTGCTTCTTACAAGGGTGCTCAGATCTTCGAGGCTCTCGGTCTCGACGAGTCCGTTGTCGAGCGATGCTTCAAGGGCACTGCTTCCCGCATCCAGGGTCTGACCTTCGAGCTCATTGCTGAAGACGCCTTCCGATTCCACGAGCGTGGTTTCCCCTCGCGATCCACCGTTGGACCTACTGGCCTTCCCGAGTCTGGCGAGTACCACTGGCGTGATGGCGGTGAGCCTCACGTCAACGACCCTACCTCGATTGCCAACATCCAGGACGCCGTTCGAACCAAGAACGACAAGTCCTACGAGGCTTACTCCCGCTCCGAGTATGAGCAGATCAAGAACTGTACTCTCCGAGGTCTCCTCGACTTCAAGTTTGAGGACTGCACCCCTGTCCCCATTGACCAGGTTGAGCCCTGGACCGACATTGTCCGCCGCTTCTGTACTGGTGCCATGTCTTATGGTTCCATCTCTATGGAGTCTCACTCTACCCTTGCTGTCGCCATGAACCGACTTGGCGGCAAGTCCAACACTGGTGAGGGTGGTGAGGATCCCGAGCGATCTCAGCGTCTTCCCAACGGCGATACCATGCGCTCTGCCATCAAGCAGGTCGCCTCTGGTCGTTTCGGTGTCACCTCCGCCTACCTGGCTGACTCTGACGAGCTTCAGATCAAGATGGCCCAGGGTGCCAAGCCTGGTGAGGGTGGTGAGCTTCCTGGCCACAAGGTCTCCAAGTCGATTGCTCGCACTCGTCACTCGACTCCTGGTGTCGGTCTCATTTCGCCTCCTCCTCACCACGACATTTACTCCATTGAGGATCTGAAGCAGCTGATCTACGATCTGAAGTGCTCTAGCCCTCGATCCCGAGTCTCCGTCAAGCTTGTTTCCGAGGTTGGTGTTGGTATCGTCGCCTCTGGTGTCGCCAAGGCCAAGGCTGATCACATCCTGATCTCTGGCCACGACGGTGGTACTGGTGCCTCCCGATGGACTGGTATCAAGTACGCCGGTCTTCCCTGGGAGCTTGGTCTGGCTGAGACCCATCAGACTCTGGTCCTCAACGATCTCCGTGGTCGTGTGGTTGTGCAGACTGATGGTCAGCTCAAGACTGGTCGCGATGTCGCCCTGGCCTGTCTGCTTGGTGCTGAGGAATGGGGCTTCGCCACCGCTCCTCTCATCGCCATGGGATGTGTCTTTATGAGAAAGTGCCATTTGAACACCTGCCCTGTTGGTATCGCTACTCAGGACCCCGAGCTGCGCAAGAAGTTCAAGGGTAGCCCTGAGCATGTCATCAACTTCTTCTACTATGTCGCCAACGAGCTCCGAGCCATCATGGCTCAGCTTGGTTTCCGCACCATCAACGAGATGGTTGGCCACGTTGAAGTTCTCAAGATGCGCGATGACCTGCGAACCAACAAGACAGCCAACATTGACCTGTCTCTCCTCCTGACCCCAGCCCACAAGCTCCGACCTGGTGTCGCCACCTTCAACGTCCGAAAGCAGGACCACAAGCTCTATGTCCGACTCGACAACAAGCTGATTTCCGAGGCCGAGTTGACCCTCGACAAGGGTCTGCCCTCGAGAATCGAGTGTGATATTGTCAACACTGACCGAGCGATGGGTACCTCCCTGTCCTACCACATCTCCAAGCGCTATGGAGAGGCTGGTCTGCCCCTGGACACTGTCCATGTTAACATCAAGGGCTCTGCTGGTCAGTCCTTCGGAGCTTTCCTTGCCCCTGGTGTCACACTTGAGCTCGAGGGTGATGCCAACGATTACGTTGGCAAGGGTCTGTCGGGTGGTCGCCTGATCATTTACCCTCCTCGCTCTGCCGTCTTCAAGGCCGAGGAGAACATCCTTATTGGAAACACTTGCTTGTACGGTGCTACCACTGGTACTTGCTTCTTCCGCGGTGTTGCAGCTGAGCGATTCGCTGTCCGAAACTCGGGTGCTACCGCCGTTGTTGAGGGTGTTGGTGACCACGGCTGTGAGTACATGACTGGTGGCCGCGTTGTCATTCTTGGATCTACTGGTCGCAACTTTGCGGCTGGTATGTCTGGTGGTATCGCCTACATCTTGGATGTGCACGGCGACTTCATGTCCAAGCTCAACGATGAGATGGTTGAGGCCGGCCCCATTGAGGACGCCACTGAGATTGCCTTCGTTCGCGGTCTCATTGAGGACCACCACCACTACACTGGATCCGAGCGTGCTGCCCGCATCCTGGTTGACTTCAACCGTGCCCTGCCCCGCTTCATCAAGGTCCTCCCTGTCGACTACAAGCGTGTTCTCGAGGAGGAGGCTGCCAAGGCGGCAGAGGCCAAGCGTGCCGAGTACAACCTGCCCGTCGTCTCTGGTGTTCACACCAAGAAGGCGGAGAAGGCCGCTAAGCTCCAGGATCTCGAGGAGGCTGTTGGCGACAACGCCGCAGAGAAGAAGCGCGCCCTTGTGCTCGACAAGACTAAGGGCTTCATGAAGTATAAGCGCCGCGCTGAGAAGTACAGACCTGTGACCTCCCGTCTCAAGGACTGGGCTGAGCTCAGCTCTCGCCTGGACCAGGATGAGCTCAAGTATCAGTCAGCTCGATGCATGGACTGTGGTGTCCCTTTCTGTCAGTCCGAGACTGGTTGCCCCATCTCCAACATTATCCCCAAGTGGAATGAATTGGTCTTCCAGGGACAATGGAAGGATGCTCTTAACCGTCTGCTGATGACCAACAACTTCCCCGAGTTCACTGGTCGTGTGTGCCCTGCTCCTTGCGAGGGTGCTTGCGTCCTGGGTATCAACGAGGACCCTGTCGGCATCAAGTCGATCGAGTGCGCCATCATTGACCGAGGCTTCGAGATGGGCTGGATGATTCCCCAACCCCCTGAGGTCCGCACTGGCAAGACTGTTGCCATCATTGGCTCTGGCCCCGCCGGTCTGGCCGCTGCTGATCAGCTCAACCGTGCTGGTCACCTCGTCACTGTCTATGAGCGTGCTGACCGTCTGGGAGGTCTGCTCATGTACGGTATCCCCAACATGAAGCTTGACAAGCGTATCGTTAAGCGCCGAACCGACTTCATGGCTTCTGAGGGTATCATCTTCAAGACTGGTGTTGCTGTTGGTGAGGAGGGTCATCCTTCTCTTGACGACCTCCGGGCTAGCCACAACGCCGTCGTCATTGCTACCGGTGCCACTGTTGCTCGTGATCTGCCTATCAAGGGCCGTGAGCTTGACGGCATCCACTACGCCATGGAGTTCCTGCACAAGAACACCAAGTCTCTCCTCGACTCCGAGCTTGCCGACAACACCTACATCTCTGCCAAGGACAAGCACGTTATTGTCATTGGTGGTGGTGACACTGGTAACGATTGTATCGGAACCTCTCTCCGCCATGGTGCCAAGTCGGTCACCAACTTCGAGCTGCTGCCCCAGCCTCCGCCTGAGCGTGCCAATGACAACCCCTGGCCTCAGTGGCCTCGCATCTACCGTGTGGACTACGGTCACACCGAGGTCCGCCAGCACACTGGCAAGGATCCTCGTGAGTACTGCATCATGTCTGAGGAGTTCATGGGCGACGGTTCCGGCAAGGTCAAGGGCATCGTCACTGTTCGCGTGGAGTGGACCAAGTCTCCTAGCGGTGGTTGGGACATGAAGAAGGTCGACGGTTCTCAGCAGTACTTCAATGCTGACCTTGTCCTGCTTGCCATGGGCTTCCTTGGCCCTGAGGCTCGCGTGCTCGGCGACGACATTGAGAAGGACGCTCGCAAGAACGTCAAGACGCCTCCTGGCAAGTACTGCACCAACATTGAGGGTGTCTTTGCTGCCGGTGACGCCCGCCGTGGTCAGTCTCTAATTGTCTGGTAAGTCATGAATGAACATTTACACTACATTGTGAACCAAAAGCTAACTGTTTCATCAGGGGTATCAACGAAGGTCGCCAGGCTGCCCGTGAGGTTGATCTGTACCTCCAGCAGTACACCAACCTGCCAGTTACCGGTGGTATCACCAAGCACACCGCGCAGGAGATCTTCACCCAGATCCAGGTCGAGGCTTAGATAGATGACGCCGTCATTCCAAGATGATGGTCTTTCTCTCTTGTTTTTTGTGGGCATGGGAGCAAACGGTTCAGCGATATACCCTGATTGTGGGACAATTGGAGCTCATGCAGGCTTGGGTTAACGGGGAACTGCGACTTTGATGTTTTTCTATACCAATTTGTAGAATTGCGCGTTAGGCTGGATATATAAAATTATGATTTGGACCACTTGTTCGTCTAACTATCTCTTGAGTGAAGTTGGCCGGCCACAGGGCGACATTCGTTCGACTATTCAGAGCTTATGCCCTTACCTAAACATCACCCTAACTCTGACCAGATTCATCTGGACATTTAGGCAACACTATGTAAGCCATACCCATAAGCATTGCCTAATCTTTATACCCATCTGGTTATCTCACTTGTTGATATCATGCCGAGATTCCTCATCCAGGGGTTGTTGTGGTACCGACCAGTCACTCCGACGTTAACACGCATACCGTATCTTGTTCAAGGGTGGTATTATGATCTCTCATGCTAAAATTTCGATCATGTGTAACAATCTTGCTATTGCGCAATGCAGTATGTCAAGTCATCGAGATAATGCGGTTGGCCCCCTTGATCGGTCTGGGAGGGGGAGGGAAACTGTAGCATTGTAGCCACAAGACATGACAAAGCTAGCAATCTCAAGGGCCGTTTCCAATTCCCTCATAGACGATGGCATTCTTGGGGCAGTGGTCTCCAAGATAGGAGAGTCTAAGCGGATCGAAGGTGCGCGGCAGCCCTTGTTGCTCAACCCCTTTCCGAGGACCGTCGGATGCCGTCTCTCGTTGTGGACACCGGCACTACAGATCCAACCCTTAGGATACACGGAACAAACTTTCATGATAAATTGGTACACGCCTTGAGGAATATATTACAAGCTCGACTGACATGCCTGTTGCCTCAGAGTGTCAGGAATCAAGCACGGGTTCCATCCCACTGCCTCAATACTGGCCACTGGGAGCATAGTTAGAAGGCAGAATCAGCAGCAGTCTCGCTAAGACGAACTTGTAACTATTTATTTTGCCATCAGAACTTTGTGATAATTCATCTACCGGATAGTCTTAATTGGTAGCTCCCAACGGGGTTCTCGACGACCACCCCGCCACAAACACCAACAAGTCAGACATTGATAGACCGGGTGAAGCTCCCTCCGTTGTAATTCACGCTAAGTTGTTTGTTAGCAGAGCTGCCTTCAACTTCGCGGCAAGCCCCTTCCAATGGCATCTCCCTCGTCAACTCTGGGCATTTCATCGATAGCCATCGTCTTAAGACTTGGCTCCCCCCCCTCTTGACCCGTGAGTTAGATACCATTCATATCGTTTGAAGATGTAGTAGCCAACCTATTTGAAGACACAAGACGAGTTCCGAGTTGGGGAGCCGAAACTTTACAGAATCGTTCTTAAGGGGTGCCTTGGATTCTACCTGGTGATCTCCAAGGTGCGTTTGTAATGTGAAAAAGGTCCTTGCCAGCACACCCACTACACTTGTTCATGCTGATGTAGTATCTAGCACAGCGTTCGAAGCGGTAAAGATGGACCTTTTAGCACCTATTTTTAGGAACGCTTTCATTCTCAGTCACGGGTACTTTGGATTTCTGGGTAGCATATTCAGCCGACAAGTTGGGGAGCATTCTTCAAGCCCCTATCGCAAGGGGTGGCGCAGGAAACATTTGCCAGTGGGGATCTGACTTAGGAGACATGAAATATATCAGGACTGGAAATGGGAACACGAGGCTGTATGCGCGCCGTAAGGCACTCAGCGGTCACCAGGACCTTGCGGTTTCCGTTGGATTTCCACGAGACTGCGAGCTGATTATGTCGGCGGTACATGGCTAGATCATAAAGATCTGGGATATAGCTGTTGGGTTCTCTAGGCAGGTAATCAATAGATAGCGATTCTTGACTTCAACTTCATTCTCGGACGAAACAAGGTTGGCGATGTTGGCGCCGACCAATCTTGCACTGGTCTGGAATACTGCAACTGATTTCACTGCTGCGATGGGCCCGATTCAACTCTCACCACGAGCTGGCCTATCTGAGATAACAAAAAGGGGAATTGCCTGCAGGATCTTCTCAGCCAGGGGGGTTGAGTGCAGCCAAATGTGTTCCTGCATGGATCAAAGACAACTGTCTCAGAGTTGGGGGACTGCCCAATTTGGACCTAGGATATAGTATGATTGGTACTGCAGAGTTTTCGAGCCACATGATTCCATGTTGATCCTGCTGCATTACTGCAGGTCTCTTCATGGGTTGGTTCAGTGGCTCAAGGGGAGAGTCGGATGAGAGCGTGCCGGGGATGTGCCTGCTATCCGCAGGCAGTGGTCCGAGGGAAAACGATGTTGCCATCAAATTATTGAAATATCTCGTGGTTCCGCATGAACTGGTAGGAATTAGAATACCAGCTTGGAAGATTTCATCATCTTGGATATGGCTACATGTCAAGGTCGACACGTCGATGTCGAGACACGCTCCAAAGCTACGCGGCTTTCTTGCCCACCAAGCACCTCCTTGCATCAGAATCAAAGGCCGGAACCATCTCCATCCAAAATACCTCATTGATGCAATGTTGAATGGGCTCAGTCTCCGCTGTGGCAAGGTAAACTGGGGCCCCGTCGTGCCCTCTTCCAGAGGCAGTTTAGAAATCGAGGACGGGCAGGCCAAAGACCTGGTACGCCAGTTCCGGTCCTCCGACTACTTTGAACCTTTCATTACTCTAAGGAGTGAACTATCTATGGCCGTAGAAGGCTGGTTGAGAGTCTGTTGAACCTGTCGTCCCTTACCATTCTGGACGTGACGCGCCCAGGCAGTCATTACCAGCCGGAACCACGAGTCCGAGATGGAAGTGCGAGCTAACCATGTCCTGGCAAGCCATGGGTAGAACTGGGACTTGCGAATCTTTTGTGGTTACGTTGAGAGTATCAATTCTCCCATTGAGCCGTCTAGGATCTATTGCTTGCTCTAGGCTCTTCATCCTAGCGAGTTCTCACTTTCAGGTGTGTTCGCTAAGACGGTTGAGACTGAGGAAAGCGACTTTGCATTTCTAACAGAGACGGTTGCCACCTTCTACGTAAGTTGGTCATTGTGGACTGTGTTTAGCCCCTCCTTTGATCAATCACTGGGGACTGCGGAAACCCTTGCTGTGTCAGTCAAAGCTGATGAATTGTCGTACTGGATCCCTTGAGAAAACCACCTGTCAATAGTTTGTCACTCGGTCCACGGTTCAATACGGGGCACATCACACTGAGACTAGCCGTGTTGACGCTAGAGCAACGGTACTCGGCAATCGTTTAGGTACGTAGTTGCTCTTGGTGGCAGACGTTCGTCTCGAGAAGCGCCGAGAAGGGATCGTGAGATGCATTTGGTTCTCACTTTGAAAAATCCTAGACGAATGTGGCCTCGACAAGACATGTCGTGTGCGCCCTTGATATTTCGAGCTTAGCCTGGCGACAAGAAATAGGGGTCTCGTAGTCAAATGAGGCAGGAATGCTGCCATGAAGAGAACATTTTCCTTCTCAGACAGGGTCAATATTGACGTCTTGAGCCGCTCACGTGCCCTTGCGAAGGACGTTGCAATTGTGTTGCTTGGGAGATGGGCTATCGTCCCTTTAGGTCTAGTCCGTGGGCTCTAGCAAAAGCCAAGTTTCTCTCAACACGAGTGACATTTTGATGCCCGAGAGGTCAAGAACTGTAATGATTTTTTCGAACCGAGGGGGGCACCAACCTAAACCAGCAACTTGATTTACAAAACCTTCAGATGAAGCTATTCCCTCCCCTCCCCTTCACGTGCGTCAACCACAGCACCAGAATGCACGGAACAGCAAGAATGAAAGTATGGGTCAGGTACCTGACCGGGGTGCGTGCATGCCTACCCGTTGCGTCACTAACCCATTGGCGCCTTTGAGGTGCCGCACGTGTATAAGTCGGGGGATCTGATAGGGCAATCGGAGAGGGAAGAAGCAGCGGAACCATCAAGCGACGCCGGGACCCGCACTTCCCTCTGAGGCCTAGATTGACAGGGAGCCCAGCTAAGTTTGCAGCGGGCTGTCCGCTGCGAGACACCGAGGAGCCGCTGAGCTCTGGAGACGAATGAATTGGCTAATGCAAGTGGCTGGGCCGAGCTGCTAGAGCTGTTGAAAGGGAGCTACTGAGCAAGCCCCGGTGACACTTTGGGTACCTGCTGCAGGTGGTGGGCGCGGTGGCAGTGGGTGGACTCCATTGTTGCGTCGTCTGTCCATGCTTGGTTTCACGTCGGTCGGCCTTTTTTCCTTTCATCGTACCTACCTAAACAACCTGAACTTGCTCGAGTGGGTGCATTGATCTTGCTCATTCCTTTTTCCTGTCTCGCGACAACGTGGGACCGTGGATCACGACTCTACTACTCCCTTGGGAATCCATCAATTTTTTCTCCTTCTGCCCTCTCATCCATCCTTCTCTCTTCTCCATCACCTCGTCGCGCCTTCTTCGACCCGACGCTCCTGCAGAACGACATCATCGTTGTGTCATGATCCTGTGACCCGACCCATCTCCCGGATCCGTGTTACCTGCGCCTGCCATCCATTGATTGTCTCGCTCCGATCTCCGACTCCGACGTGATAATCGCCCTACCCGGCCGTCCATTCTCCGCCGTCCGGCCGGCTTGCCTGCCTTGATAAGCGTAGTTGCTTCCTAGACCGTGGACGACCAGCCCCTCCTCGCCCACAATGCGCTTCGGTCGCACCCTGCGCGAGTCTGTCTACGCGCCATGGAAGGACAAGTACATCGACTACGCAAAGCTCAAGAGCTTGCTGCGTGAGGACGTCGCCGACGACGATCGCCCGTGGACCGAGGACGACGAAACTCGCTTCTGTGAGGAGATCTTCAACAAGCAGCTCGAGAAGGTGGCCGAGTTCCAGGAGCAGCGATTCAACGCCCTCAAGGAGCGCGTCGATTCCGCCTTTGAGAAGCTCAAGGAGCTTGCTCCCGTCGAGTCCACCGAGGATGATGGAACCATCCCCAAGGGCGAGATCTCGGCCTCGCGCCTGCGTGCCCTCGAGTCGGAGCTCGACGACATCACTAACGAGGTCCGCGAGCTCAAGAAGTACAGCAACATCAACTACACGGGCTTCCTCAAGATCATCAAGAAGCACGATCGAAAGCGGGGTGATCGCTACAAGGTCCGGCCCATGATGCAGCTGAGCCTCGCCCAGCGCCCCTTCAACTCGGAGACTGGCTACTCGCCCCTCCTTAACAAGCTGTCCATTATGTACTTTGCCATCAGGCAACAGTTCGAGGAGGGCGGAGACCAGCTCCCTCCTCTGGACCTCGAGTCCCAGGGCGAGACTCACAACGGCGAGCGTTACACCGCTCACAAGTGTAGGTTTCTTTCCGAGGACGGGACGTTGCTTGGCAGTCGTACCGTGTCGTGAAACACAACAAAGTACTAACATGTCTCGGCAGTCTGGGTCCATCCCGACAACCTTCTCGAGGTCAAGACGGTCATTCTTCGACATCTTCCTGCCCTTGTCTACAGCGAGCAGTCTGCCAAGGAACTCGATGGCAGCGACTCGCCGTCCATCACTTCGCTTTACTTTGACAACAGGCAATTTGACCTCTATGGCGAAAAGGTCAACCGTCAAGCCGAGGCTACTTCCCTGCGCCTTCGCTGGTATGGACAGCTGACCACCCGTCCGGAGATCTTTGTTGAGGAAAAGACTGTGGACGACAAGGGCAGCAGGGAGCTCAAGTTCTCCATCAAAGACAAATATGTCAAGTCGTTTGTGGATGGCGACTACAAGATGGACAAGGCGATCCAGAAGATGAAGAGGCAGAGTTTCACACCCGAGCAGGTGGACGCCTACAAGAAGACTGTGAATGCCATCCAGAACTTTGTCAAGGAGAAGGGTCTGAGCCCTGTTCTGCGGGCCAACTACTTGCGAACCGCGTTCCAAAAGCCCGCCGATGATCGCATCCGCATTGCCATTGATACTGATGTTGCCTTTATCCGCGAGGATACTCTCGATCGCGACCGCCCTTGCCGTGACCCCAACGAGTGGCACCGCTTGGATATTGACGATAGTGAGATGACCTACCCCTTCAAGAAGATGAACCAGAGCGAGGTCAACCGGTTCCCCTATGCTCTTCTGGAAATCAAGTTGAAGGAGGACGGTCTTCGGAAGCGCCCATCCTGGGTTGAGGACTTGATGTCGTCTCACCTGGTTCACGCCACACCGCGCTTCTCCAAGTTCGTGCATGGTGTGGCAGTTCTCTTTGAAGACTATGTCAACAACTTGCCCTTCTGGCTTAGTGATCTCGAGGGAGATATTCGAAAGGATCCTCAGAAGTCGTTTGAGGAAGAGGAGCAGCGTCGTGCCCAACGGCACGAGGATGTGATGGCTGTGGGTAGCTTGATCGGCGCGGGCGCAAAGTCAGGATCGTATAAGCCTACACAGAGCTCCCCAGTGAGCAAGTCATATCTGGCAGATCGCATGTCCAAGGACTCGATCGCTCAAGCCCTCAACAACCGATCATCTAGGGTCGCCAACGGGGAGGAGAATGGGGAGAGCAGCTCCCGACAGCAGGAGGAGCAACAGGAGAGGTCTTATGGAACTCTCTCTTCGGTGATCCCGGGCTTCTCACTGTCCAAGTACTCTAGAGCGAAGCGAGCATCGCAACAAGCTCTTCCCGAGGGCGTGGTGGCGCCAACTGAGTGGATCAAGAACGCCGGCGAGCTCAAGGTCGAACCCAAGGTTTGGCTCGCCAATGAGCGAACGTTCCTCAAATGGCAGCACATCTGCATCCTTCAGGGTGGTTTGGCCGTTGGACTGTACACGGCGGCCGGCAAGGATACGGTTGCCTCTATCATGGGCCTTGTCTATGTTTTGATCGCCGTCTTTGCAGGAGCTTGGGGCTACGGCATGCTTAGGGTGCGCCGAACCATGATCTTGGAACGGAGTGGCAAGGACTTTGATAATATGATTGGACCTATGATTATCAGCGTCTCTCTGATGGCTGCCCTGATCCTGAACTTTTTCTTCCAGGTACGTCTTGCTAGTTACGGCAAGGGTCTATTAAGTGCTAACATCGGTCAACAGTATCGGGCAGCTTTTGGACGGATGAATGATGGTAAGGACGGAAGTGAGCCTTTGTCGGAAGACCTGAGGTAGGAGAGCATGAAAGAGATGGAGGCTGCAGGATTGGTTCTGTGAGCATCGGATAGGATGGGCGTTGGATGATGCATTCTTTTGGTGTTTCGTTTTGACCGGTTTGAGGATGTTGGAGAGGGAGGCATCGGGCATTTCACTGCTCGACTCATATGTTTTCACCAGTTCTGATTGGCCTTGTGTTGAGTACCTAAATGTGACTCTAGTTGTCATCGATAGGAGTCATTATGTCGATGAAGTGGCAGTGCCCTCGCCGTTGTTGAGCAGGGGACCTGCATCTATGGTCACATTTGCAAGACTCCCTGGAATTGGACAAGTCCTAATCTTGAGCCAAGACTGTCCCCATCCAAATATAGCGTAGGATGATCAAGCCGAAGCATCCATCTTTGATAGAACCCCTGAAGCGCAGCATGCAGGCATGGGCTTGTTGATTGCAGCTCTTGCTCTCCACATTTACGAACATGCATGTACCTCTATGTAATGATTCATGTATGAGAGTGTAGATGATACAGGTTGAACTTGTCCGCGGGGTAATTATTGCAATTGAACAATGGATCTTCTTTTGGTGTCAACGGCAAAATATCTTGCCCGGGGTTCCTCGGCGTTGAGGAACAATAGGCCTCCGGCGGCAAGGCGAGGCAAGGATGATGAGGCAGGCACGAAGGCCCTCTACGTGCATATGTGCTGCGCGTCCCCGTCCGTACCGTAGGTGCCCTGTCTCTCTTTTTTCCCCCTGGCCCCCATCCCATCCCTTCAATTATTCCGAACAGAAGAAAAGCCTCTTTTGCAACTTTACACTTTTCTTTCCTCATCACTCCTTGAATGTGACTTTGTGGTCTTTTAAACTTTGATCTTGAGGCGTGTCTCCTACTACTACGGTGTTGCTGTGAGGTGACAACAACTCCAACTGGGTCCCGGTCTCCTCCCCCTCCGTCTCATATCCCTGTCACATCGGTCTCCAGAGAGCTTCCCGCTGCTTGGACGACAGCCTCGCCTCCACGATTGTCGACCTGCAAGTCGCGCCACAAAAAAAACGCGGCTTCCCCTGCCCGGGCCGTCCATTTTGAGGCCTGCGTGCGCTTGCTGGGTGTGGGCAATTCTGGGCGGCGCATTTTCATCTCCCCTTCTTTTCCCGCTTTCACGAGCAATTCCCTAGCTCTCTCTCTTTCTCTTATCGCTTCTCCTCAGAGAAACAACCAAGACTTGACAGGAGCGGGGAGATCATGTGCAACGTCAAGTCCGTCTGCTGCTAACTACCAGCTAACTCGGCGAGCTAATACCGTACCCTGGGTTTCCGATTTCCCTTTCTACCTGAACCCAGTCCCGCGCGCCATCGGGCGTCGCGAACCGCACGACCTGCGACCAACACCTCTTTTCGCGACAGCATCCTCCCTCCTCATGGGCTTTTCTCGATAACCCCCAACCTCTTCGCCAGCTTCGCGAGTCGCCCTAGAGCTGCGCTGTCGCTGCTCATGACATCATGACGGACCAAGGCGAAAAGAAGGGTCTCTGGGGCCTTTTCCGAAGAGCCAGTAGCAGGAGACAATCCACCAAACCACCGGTGCGTAGTGGCGTCTTCTTTGTTCTCGAGCGCGCCGTACCTCGGCTTCTGCAGAGCTAGAGCTCTGCCATGCCAAGCCAAGCTTAACTCGACAACCTCATCGCTCGAGAGTCTCTTTGCTGACTGTACCCCGTGGCTTCTAGACCAAGGAACACCTCGAGCCCAAGGAATATCACCGACCCCGCCGTGCCAGCAATGGCGATGCTATTCAACCCTTTCCACAAAACTCTGGTTCTGCTCCCGATCTCAGCTACGAGAAGCGCCGCCCTGCGACCGCCGATGACGAATCTCGCGTCCGACGCCGGCCTAGAAGGTCGCAGCCCGAACCTGAGCCCGAACCTCGACAAGTGAGGTCTACACCCTTCTTGAAGAAACCCCGTGCTGTAAACGGACGCACCACCACCACCGCCCGATCCCGTGAACCTCTTACCACCTCCTGGCCTCCCGAAGGCATCTCCATCAACGACGAGTTGCCGCCACAGCATGCTCTGGAACTTGTCGCCCGCGGCGCTCCCTCCCACAAGGGTCACAAACGTCCAATCCCCCACCACCCGGAAGAGTTCTTCTCGCTCTACACAACTTCTGGTGGTAATCGATCTAATGGCAAAGGCACCGACCATATGGATGTCTCCAACCTTCACGACTCGATGACCCAGCTAATGACCCTGCGACTGCTTGGTCACGGCCATGCCACTTATCCATGGGAAACACTCGAGCAGCCTAGCTACTCATTCTTCTTTGGTCACTTGCCGGGCACCATCACTCTCAATGAATGGGCCTCCATGTCAAGCGTGTTGCCTCCTGCCATCATGCTCCGCGACTCCGGTGTCGTGCCCCGACCGATGGATCTTGAGAACATATTCGACCGATTGCAGGAGCTGCGCTATGGCCTCGAGGATGACAACGAGGCTATGCTGTATCGCAACCTTTACAAACGCATTCTGAGGGACCCCGACAAGATCTTTAGTCCTCATCGGACTCTCGACAAGCAAATCACTGACCTCATTCTTGTCCTATCGCGCCCAGAATGGATCGACTTTAGCAACCCGCGCAACCAAGTTGCAACCCGCTTCATCTTTGACAGAGGCGAAGAAAATCGCGAACAATACCAAAAGTTCTTCCATCAGCTGCTTCTCAGTCTGGAGCTGGAGCTACGCATTCAGTCGCAACAACATGGCGACTGGGCAAAAGAGAAGCTAACCTCTCAGATCCCTCCCACGATCCAGTGGAATCTAGCCCTGGCTCGCCGGTGGCAGAGTTTTGTGCGCGTTGATGACTTTGGCAAGACCCCTGAAGATAGTAAGTAACCCGTGTTGGTAGCGACATGCTATGGAGCATGGCATATTCCAAGAGTTGGGCTTTTCTGACACTGGTTGCAGTCCTTCTCCGCTACAAATTAAAGAAGCGCCAGATCAGGATGCTGAGGCGCTTTGCCCAGATGATGAGGTGGCCGAACCTGGATGAGACCCTTGATAACATGAAACAAAAAGACTCGGAGATGTCTTTGGACGAAGTCAGCTCTGATGCCTTTGCCTTTTTCAGCGGTCTCGTACTACCTGGTGTAAGTTTACCCGTTTATGTCCCTGAAACTTATAAGCGTAGTCCTTGGCTTGTTTGATGCGTGAAGGCTGACTTGAGGAACAGCAAACGTTCCCCTTTCTCATCATGAACACACTCATTGATCTCGACCCTGACAATGCCACCAATGAACTGGCCCTCCTCTCACACATGCACCCTCAGTGCGGTTTCCAGTATCGAAACAGCTACACATACTGGTCCGCCACTTGCATTGTAGGCAAGGTCATGGCACCTACTTGCCACGGAGTCGCTGGGTGGGTCGGTCCCGCGCGGACAACGACAGATCTAGCTCCATCTCAGATTGCACGTATCCGCAGTAGAAAACCAAAGCAACGGATAAGTGACAAGGACGTGGAGTCAATGGGGGAGCGATCCGACCCGCTGGGTCCGCCAGCTGAGGTCTATCCCGTGGACGAATATCAGCCGGTAGCACCGAAAGGGGGGCCTGATGATGCTGTTGACACGGTGCGGATAGAAATGCTGAGCCTCAAAGCTGCGGATCGGCCCGACGGTGCATCCCCCACAAGTTCAGGCTCACGACTATTTGATGCGACAGTGCAGTTCGCTATCGATGGGGTATCATGGCCGTTGCGGCTCATGTATGACGTATCTTTTGTGGCAGCATGGCCGTGCTCCGAGGGGCCACATCCGCTTTTCTTCGACTACATATATACGGCGATCCGTGTTGACTCGATAGTTGGGGTACGGGACTGGGGAGGTCTTTATGGAGCACCACCGTCGCATAGTGTGCGATCAAGCCCCGGACCAGGCATGATGCAGGGACCGTACCGGGATATGTTCAGCCACAGCTTTGGTCATAACCGTCTTCAGGGTCACCTATTCGATCATGGTGCCAACGAGGAAGAAGACGATGACGAGAAGGTGCTCGTGGTTGAAGCGTTCGGGGTGCGCGACAATGAGGTCCTCGCTCGAGCTTGGTGCTCACATTGGGGCCTCAGCGCGATCGTGGCGGATGTTCAAAAGACATGGTAAGTTGGATACTGAGCTATGAAGCTATCATGACTTGAGCTGACAGATGTGCAGCATGGCGTGTGCCATCCGAGAAGCGTACGCGGCTACGCTTACAGTGGTGATCCTGGTAGAAGGGCAGGAATACCCCAATGATGATTAATGACTGTTATGAAGTTATGTACTGTTCACTTTTCCCCGCCAGCGTTGCGTTGCGAGACTGGCTGGCGATGCGGGAATGGGGACGAAGAGTGAATCTTGAGTCTCGAAGACCAAGAAGGACAAATAATGGGGAATCTGTCGAGGGTGGACGGAGTTTAAAGGAAAGGGTCTGATTTGTGAACCAAGGGATAAGAGTAGGGCTCATCCGGCGGTGAGGGAGCAGTTGTGTATGAATGCTTGTATATTGATTGAGGATTTCAGAGGTCACGCTTGGGCTCGGTGAAGCATCAGCCGACCTTGGACGAGGAACAAGGCTCGGTTGGGCCCGAAAGTTAGTGGATAGTTTCACAACTCAAAAGAATAGTTGCTATAATGAGGTTGTCTGTAGCAGGAGTTTGGTCATCCGCCGTTAAGTTCCATAGCTCAGATGTTCTAGGTTGAAACATGACCTGACTGAATTATTCACCGCACCGGGCAGGTCCAGCAGGGGAGCATTCTCGGTGAGCGGCATGCAGCTTTCCATTGGCCAATTGGCTCTGTCAGCGCAATTGCTCAGTGGCCAGAGTCTACGGATAGTCCGGATCTGGAAGCCCGAAGCTCTGGGACCGTTCCATTGCCCGGATGCAGCACCCCGGCCAGAGATACCCGGAGGGGGCCTGAGCTGCATGATGCTAAATCAACCCCTCTTGAGGTGGACGGAGAGATAACTAGCAAGTGCATGCTTGAGATGGAAGACGGAGAAGAGAGCTAACCCGAGCCTCTAGGCAAGTCGGATAATAGCCGACCGGCTCGGCAGAGAGACAAGCAAGACGGGGAACGAAGCCGGGTTCTTTGTCTAATAGGAACAGACAATCCCGGCTCAGGTCATATTTTTTGCGAGGTCATCTGAACAAGAATGGTTTTTTGCTGTACCCGCTGCGGTGCGCGCGGGATAAGGCAGGGGGA